TTCGTACAACCACGGGGTTAACATTTCAAGTCAAAATTTCCAGAACGGAAGCGGGCAAACCAATAACCGGTGGTACATTCGTTTGTAATATTCGCTCCGTAAACTTCGTTGATGTTACGTGTCGCTTGCGCCGCGTTCCAGCCATGACAGTACTCATATTCCATAAAAATTCGAATTTTTAACGTATCCATAATGACGAAAAAGTTCAAAAATGAAAGCATAACGAAAGTAAACAAATTACTAATGAATTGATAAAGAGTTATTAAAATTCTTAGCCAAACTATAATTATTTTGATTTGAAATTACCAGTACGGCAGAACGACAATTTCATAGGGAAAGGCCTATTATTAGAAATAAGATGCGGGCGGAACTTTTGTATCGTCTATAAAGAAATAAAGATATTTATTCCAACACTTACATCTTCTACACACATTACAAATTACAATTAAAAATAAAACAAGTGACTTATAAACAAACACTCAAACAAAAAATAGAATAAAGAAAAGAAGTTCTTCCATTACATGTGTATACAAACGCGCATTAAAATTAAACTTAAAAAAAAACGTATAACGTACGTATAATCTTTTTTTTTCTTTTTTTTCTTTTTTTTAATAATCGTTACCCCTACACTAGGATTTTCTCCTGTGTCGTGGAGGCAGTTTATAAACATAAATTACAAGCACAAGGACAAACATCCAGACCCGGAACAATTACTTGTAGGCCATACAAATACTTGTTCCGTGCGGGATTCAAACCCGCGGCCCCCAGCGCAGCAACTGATTGCTAAGCCACTGCGCCACGGAGCCGTCAAGAGAAATAAATTAAAGTGGATGCACCACTTTAATTTCTTTCTTTTTTTTTTCTTATTATAAGCGCCTGCTAGACTACTTGATGGCAAGTGATCATTCATTTTAGATGTAAATTCCCCAGCTTATGAAAATATTGCCCAGTTTTAATAATAAAATCATAAAATTAATAAATAACAATTCTCATTTAACTGTGCGAAGAGAAGCCAGTTTCCAAGGTTACTGACCGCCAACAAGGGCAGTGATGCGCAGATTATTGTTCTACGTTTGCCAACCCACTTGGCAAGGGTTATTAGGTAGTGGAAAATATCTAGGGGAGTACTGGGATATCGAAGTTAAATTGTAAAATGTCAATATTAGAAACTATGTGTATGTTAGTATAAGTCCTTTGAGCTTTTTACGCGTCGGTGAAATTGAATTTGCCAAAAAGCTACTGTACATCTACTGTACTGTACTACTAACTGAATTGTAAAATATCTGTTCATTTAATTATGATTACTATTTAAATTAACCTGAAGTACATAGGTGCTGTAAGATGCAACTTTGAGAAATGCCATAAACATAGCGTGCAAATAACTTAGAGGGTTTTACATAAAAAGCTCTCCTATACACAATTGTTTTATATTTGAGTTAAATTTATGTGAAGAAATATGTGATATAAAATTAAATAAAATAAATATGAAAATAGTGAAATAAAAGATTCTAAAAGTATATAAACCAACATAGACCGCAAAACATGTTTCACTTAATAAATACACACCCGCCTTTATTCTCAAACCCTCATTACTACGTGTAATGAATGTAAACTTATTAAAGCAAGGAACACAAAATTGATTGGTTCTTGCCTCTAGACATAATCTTATTATTTGCCTTTTGGTTCACAATCAGACCCTCGTCAATATGTGTAAGAATAAGACTCATCGATATAATTGACAGATTTAGGTGCTTTACTGAGATCCATTACTTTTAATATTATAAATAACGTTGCTTAGCTGAATTCAAATAATATTTCCTCGGTTTTTGTGAAAAATAAATAATAATAATGTCCTCAAGGCCATATTGCGGTCACGATGGCTAGTATCAACGAGTAAGGGAGTCTAGCCATCTGCACACGACAGTTTTATAGTGCAAGATTTGGTGCACAAATATACGTGTAGGTACTTTTTGTTTCCTCGCTCTCATTGTCTGGTGGGATGGAAATGCGACACCACCGGAGAGAGATGTCCGACACCACCACCGGGCGCAGGACCAACGGCTTTACTTGATTTTTGGAGCACGGGGTGACCGCCAACTTTCTGACTCCAGGTCGCTACTGAAAGTTTTTTTACAGAAAAAACCCAATAACTAATGTTGTTACGACCCGGGACTCTAACCTGTAATTCGTAGTCACGCTTATGACCACTAGACTAATGAGGTAGTTTTTACAAAAAATATTAATGTAAATTGACAATATGTACATAAGTAGCTCTAAAATATTTAAAAAAATATTAAAGTGAATTAAACATTAGGCTGTGTACATACCTTTATTTTTCGTAAATTCTAAAGTTTTGTATAATGTTTATCTGCCTGTCTGTACAAACAGATTTAATCCAATAAGTATTGAATCTGTTAGACATGTAATTTACACAGGTTGTATATTTTAATATCCCGGGAACTATAAGTTTTTTAGTATAATATCTATGACGGTTCTCAACATATTTATTTTTGTTTTAAATGTACGCGAACGAAGCTATTTAGTAGTAGTAAGACTCCTATTCTGCCTAGAAGTCCGCCTGGGTAGGTATGAACCTTTAACCTATTTCTTCTGTCAAATAGTAGTGCCTAGTAGCAGTCTGAACGGTGTGCTTGAGTTTACAGGCCTGGAGAGGGGGCGTTGGTCGTGAGGAGACAATTGCCGAAGGCTTAAACCGAGCATTGGGTTTTGACGTACCGAAGATTTTGTAATGTCTGAAGGTGTTGAATAAAGAGGAGTCCTGTTAATCAGTTCAAGATTTTAATTATACTGCCTAGTAAACCTAGAGTATTTCTTACACTACTAGTCGGGTGGAGGCACATACACTACACCACCCCCGATTTTGAAGAAAAAAAAGAAATGTTCTCTATTAACGCTTTTTTACATTTTATTTTCTTGATACATATAATAAAAAAAATATTTAAAATTACATTACATACAAAAATTACACTGTGAACTGAAATTTTTAAATATAATATTATATTAACCCAGAGTCTTATTACATAATAATAAATTTAATATTGTAAATTAAAATAAAATACAATGTTACTTGGCCTTTAAAATTAATTTCATTATAAAAAAAGATAATAATTTCATGATCATGATCAGCATATAATTATTATAAATAATATTATAGAGTCAATCCAGGATACGCATGCGATTTTATTTTGTACGTCATTAAACCTGTCGTACTTTTGGTACTAACCGACGTTACAACAACATGTTAACATGAACTTATCACATATCATCATGTAATACCATATTTTAATATTTTTTTAATATTTATTTTTGCTCGTAATTTATTACTTGAATTGTTGTCCCTCTTTTAATGTATAGGTACTATTTTTTAACCCCCAGTTCTATATTTTCACGGGTTCACGGCCGTGTAATTATTTATTAATTTATTTTTATATGTGCAGCACTCGGATTACTCCCCACATTTAAAAAAAAACTTTTATTCACGGTATACCCTTTTATTATTGTTAATATTTTATTTATTGACGTGACAACGTCTTCTAATTCGATGAAGCTGGCTGCACGCACGAAAAGACATGACTCATGCGGTGGCGTTCCATTTAAGACTTGAAATGCAAGCGAGAGCGCAGAACGAGCGACATAGAGGCACAATCGGCCTCCGCGTTCGGCAGCGTTCGACATCTGTCTCTCTCCTACTTGAGTGAGCGATGCGTCCGCATGGACAGCTGCCATACAATAATACATTTACATGTTATCGTCAAGTATGAAGTGCAGTGAAAAGTGAATGTGGTGTCAAATGCAACCATTCCATCAGTTTTTTTATGACGTTGTCACGTTCAACTATCGTCAGTAAACCGACTTTACAGACAAGCGATTTTTTTTATAGGAGAAGGGGCAAACGAGCATACGGCTCACCTATTATAAAGCTTTTCACACTATATAACTTTCACGCAGACGTCTTGCGTACAGCATGATCAAGTATACAGGTGGGCGACAATAATAATGCGTTTTGCATTTAACTGGACATCATATTATATGTACGAAAAGTTCTCATTGACTTTTTAGCATTTCCATAATACTCGGTTGCGCACCCGACTATCTCTGGAATAGCTAATTATTATCTACCAGATGTTGTGCTTTACCTATTAAGATTCCAACATTTTTTCATTGCTGCAATAAGTAAATACAGGATGGGCCAAGAATTCGTTAACATTTAAATGTAACTTACCGCGCAAACTATTGCCGCGCGGGGCGCGGGCGCGGGCGGGGGCACTAGCTCGCTTCTTGGAAATTTAGTCGCAATGGATCGCTTCACGAGGCCGCAACGCGCTTACTGCGTGAAACAGTTTTATTTAAACGACTTTTCGCTCATTACTGTGAGACGCTTATTTCGCGTTGAATATGGTTTACACGACTTAAGTCAGCGTCCAAGTGCTCCTTTAATAAAGAAATGGGTGAAGACGTTCGAAGAGACGGGATCTACACTAAATGTGAAACAAACCGGCGGCCCACGGACTTCTCGGAGCGAAGAGAACGTGCAGCAAGTTTCCGCTTCTGTTCGACGTGATCCAGATTTATCGACACGCAAACGTTCGGCTGAATTAGGATTATCCCGCACATCATTACGCAGTATTTTGAAATTAGATTTGAAATTACATCCATATAAGATCCAGCTAGTGCAAGAACTAAACCCTAATGATTTAAATTTGCGTAAGTCATATGCCGAAACAATGTTAACTCGTTTCAGTAATTTTCACAACATCTTATTTTCTGACGAAGCCCATTTCCACCTAAATGGACATGTAAACAAACAGAATTGCAGGTATTGGAGCAGCGAAAATCCTAAAGATAAACATGAGAGGCCACTTCACTCTCCTAAGGTAACTGTATGGGCTGCAATTTCAGCAAAAGGAATCATCGGACCTTACTTTTTTGAAGATTCTCGAGGCCGTTCAGTTACTGTTAATTCTGCCGAGTATGTGAAAATGTTACGGGAGTTCTTAGCACCGATGCTACTGGAATTTGCTGGCTATAATCGTAACACATGGTTCCAACAAGATGGAGCCACGTGTCACACATCGAACGAGTCCTTGCCGGTGGTCAAAGACATGTTTCCGGAAAAGCTGATATCCAGACGGGGTGACATCCCATGGCCACCCAGAAGTCCAGATCTATCCCGAGCAGACTTCTTTTTATGGGGTTATTTAAAGAGTCGTGTCTACATTAATAAACCGAATACACTGCGTCAACTTAAAGAAAAAATCATCGAAGAGATGTCGGCGATCTCGCGGTCTCTTTGCAGAAGAGTATTCGAAAACTTCAGGACTCGCTTAGATGAGTGCAAAAACCGAAAGGGTGGTCATTTAGACGAAATAATTTTTAAAAAATAAATTACAACTAATTAGCTTTCTCGTAAATAAACGATTTCTAAAATATGTTAAATGGTTTTTTTTATACGATTTTTTCAAATGTTAACTAATTCATGGCCCACCCTGTATTTCAATTTACTCTAACCAATGTGAATAAAACACTAACTGAATTTATTTTTATCAGTCAAATCTCTCAATAAAATATTATTGACATTATAAAAAAATGTTTATTAGGAAGATATGTAATAACATGATTTTTTATTTTATTGTCTTTATTTAATATCTTTTTTGTTCTTCTTCTTCCCTTTTTAAATTAATCTGTCATTTCTTGAATGTTTGGCTTTGGTCACTATAATATTTAAAAAAATCCACATTTTATTTTCCTCATTCTTTCTCAGCTGCCTTCATAGTACTTTTAAACTTTTTATATACTCGAATGTGAATTATATTAATTCACATTCGAGTATATTATACTTTGTAATTTTTCAGTCAGCTTCTATATTTATTTATTTTTCATCACAACCGGTATTGCGTTCATTCTGTTATAATATTTTTTGTCAATCGTTTCACTTCGTTATAAATTTAATAACATTTACTTTTTAATTTTAAATAGGCCTCGGCGGTGTGCGTGCCTTGTAGCAGCGCATCGCCTGACAGGGTCGCCATGTAATGTCAGAAGGTGTTGAATGAAAAGGGGACGTGTTGTTCAGTTCAAGACTTTAATTATGCTGCTTAATAAACTTAAGAGTACATGTATTTTTACACTATTAAAGGGTTGGAGGCACATACCCTACAATTTTTTGAGGCCTATATTTTGAGCGATCGAGTGGTTTGTCAAGCTGCGGAAGTTTCCTGCCTTAGATAGGAAGACACAGATGCCCTTTTCCACTTTGCAAAATTAACTGGAGATGCGTTTGGAGACGAGAGGCCGAGTAAGGCTTCCTTGATGTGGGTAAAGCCATCGTCTGCGGGCTTGGACTAAGCACGCTACTTAATCTGCATGTGTAAATCCGATTCGGCGTCCGAAAACACTGGTGAGAGCCCGCGGATGGATGGATCATGGATCATGGAAGTTGCAGGAAACGCAACGACGTAAATTGACGCGAAAGATACCGGGGTCACGAGACCAGAGTATGGGGACAGTGGGTTATTGATTTGGACAATGAGGCCTTCTGCTGTAGACACGGTCGCGGCCGAAGGCCTCATCGTCTACTTACGTTCCGACTTCAAACGTTGCGACCGATTACCTGTGACCCCGCAACGTACTAATAGAACACCCGGTTCCGCTTGACTCTGACAATCCAATATTAGGTTCGGTTATAACTAACTCATTTTCACAAGTTTTGCGGGGTTCTAACTGCACATGAAATTGAACGGAATGTGTTAGTCTCCGAGTCCAATGAAGTTGTGAAAGCCAACTGACTAACAACACTAACATCGCAGAAACCAGACTGTCTAAAGGGTAAAGAGAGCCAGTATAATTACAGGCTATGGGGCATTCTACATAAGTCCGCAGAGATGACAACGCATTTGTAGTCTTCTTTGTTTATAGATGTTTGTAGGTGTCCATATAGTGCATTAGACAGCTAACCATAAGGTGGACTGTAACTGCGCTTGTAACAAATTGCTATAAAGAAATTATACAATATGTAACAAAAACCCTGTGGTTCCCGTTAAGAATGTTATCAGGATCATTATTCAAACGTATAGAAATAACTTTTTTTTAAAAATCTCGAACTATATATTTTTTTTTAATTTTATTTTAAAAAAATTGTATGCAAATTGTATATGGTTTAATTACCTCTGCATTGTCTGGGAGTATGAGGATTGTCAAAGACCCCGCTTTACTTAGCTTTAGCATCGGCTAGTGTCAGTAAGAGGTAATAAAACCACATAAAATTAAAAAAAATATTTTTTAATAATAATTAAAAAAAACTATGGCCGAGTTTTAAAAAAAAAGTTATTTATATAGGTTTGAATACTGATCCTGATAACATCCTTAACGGGAACCACAGGGTTTTTGTAACATGTTGTATAAAGCAGGCTGTATCTGTTTTTTTGCTACATTTCAAGTAAGATTTCAAGTACATTACTCGTATTTCATTTCACCGAACAACGAAGACGTATTAGGAGCGGACTCATGAATTATACACTAAAGATGAGGCGAGCGTATCGCTAAGCTCATATAATATTAAGCGAACACTAGCCGGGATTGTAAATGTAGTACTGGTAAACATGCTTGCAACCAATAATATAAAAAAAACAATTTTATTTTTGTCTGTGGTAATAACGTTATTTTAGGTAAAAGATGAGAATGATGGTATATTATGATAAATTAATGGTTATATTAAATCATTAAATAAGCACTTAACTGTACATATGCTGCAGCGAGAGGTTTACGGATTAATATTTTATGCTGTATTTCTTTCCAAATGTATAAAAAATTAAAAATGTTGTAATAGTATTTTAATACAACATAAGAAGTATTACATAACACATTTCAACTTATGATACAATCATTTTACGTAAAATTAACAACTGGAGAAAACTCATCAATGGCTATTGAATCATTGTGATTTGGTAAGGATATCGTCAAAGTTGTAAGGTTTAAATAAGGTTTGGGGTTGACATTGTGTTGAGATAGCTTTTACGACGGCCGTCCAAAATTTAATTGTATGTTATTAAGGCCTGATTTTTCAATTGTCACATAAAAGTTATTCAACAAATAAATTATAACCAGACTGAATATAAAAGTGAAACAATTGAACCATTTTATTCATGTAATTGTGTACTTTGTTTTATGAATAAGTTTTTACTCAGGATTGAAAATTCAGCCCTAAAAGCTTAAATATCAAAAATCACATTTTTATTTAGGTGTCAACATTGTATTACTCATTACACACATTACGATTTTGATTTGCTTTTATAATATTATTGTTAAAATTATAGTAATAGTAACTTAAATCTAATCCTGTCTGCGATGGTCGAACAGTCGCTCCTTAACCACACCCTCTGGTCGACATGGGGTGATAGGTCATCTTACGTCGGCACCACACGGCAATAATATGATGAATAGCTCCCACTCAAATTGATGTACCGTTCATTTAATAGGATCAACCACCAAGTCACTACTTGGACACAATTTCGAAGAAAAACAGTTACTCCTAATGGAATTTGAATTTCGGGGTCGTATCTAATTAAAAAGTTATTTGACGAATTAGTATAATGTCACAACCATTCAAACAAAGTAAGTTATAGACAAATTGAAAACTACTAAAACGAAGAAGGATACATGGGTTTTAAAAAGAAGAATTAAAAAGACTAGCACTGCATTATCTTGCCAACGATCGATAAAAACGCAAAAGTCTTGAAATTCTTAATATACTGCATCAGTCAGCAATACATCTGGTAACACCCCCCCCCCCCCCCCCACCATACAAACAAGACCCGTCTGATAAAATATCAAATTAACAAGTATATTAATTTAAGTGACTAGGATAATAAATACTGACCTTTCCAAAGGTTTAGTTCTAGGCCATTTTTTATATTTACGGCGTGATCATCTTAATTAGGACCCTCATTTACGTTGTGTTTGTTTAGTAACTTAGTTCTTTTAGGTGTCTCTTGGAATAATGAATATTTACTAGGGCAATCGAATGCCGTAGGTAATGCCTTATAATTCAATTCTCATGAGGAAATTGCCCAAAAAGTTTAAGGAACATTCAATCGCCCATATTTCACTTGTTGTTGTTTGTCCACTTGTGGTTAATGTCAGTAAGTTCCTTATTAAGTTATGCCTAGCCGCTCACAACATTTATATAAAAGTTATACGTCGCACAGTCTAGCAATACGTCAATCAATAGGCACACCGGACATAAAGAACCCTGCGTGAGCGCCACCACCTGCCAGACCGACGCTCCTGCAGACGTGATGTACTCGTTAATGTAAGCATCATCACCAATTCCATGGTCAGCACGGCAGATATTTTTGCCTCCCGTCCAGCTGATTTCTTCAAGAAGAGCATCAATAAACTGTCACTGCGTTAGCAAAGATGCATCGATTGCATGGGTGATTTACTTTGATTAATAGATATAAAAAATATAGTAAAAAAAGTGTGTGTGTGTGTGTACTTATGTACTCACATAGGAAGTTATACTTCTTTAGCGTAACAAAACAAAAATAACTAAAAATATTTAAGATTCTGGTGACATTTAATTGACGGCTCCGTGGCGCAGTGGCTTAGCAATGAGTTGCAGCGCTAATGGCCTCTGGTTCGATTCCCGCACGGCACAAGTATTTGTATGGCCTACAAATAATTGTTCTGGGTCTGGATGTTGTACTTGTGAAATCTATGTTTGTAAATTGTTCCCGCGATAGATGAGAAAATCCTAGTGGGGAGTAACGTTTTTTTTAAAAAAATGTTATTTGTTTTTATTAAGATTTTTAATGTTTATATTTTACTCTTAATATTGTTTCACAAAATAAACATAAATCAATCACGTCTTTTGATGGGTAATTTTAACCTCTTTTATGTGTATAAAGATATAAATGAATATATTAACGATTTTACATCAATATGCTGAGAATGCAATACTGCGATACAATCTTCATACACAAGTTTGTTTTACAAAACTGTTCCTCTCTCCACCTTTAATATATTGCAAAACAATTTTTTTTCTTATGTGCGTGGAAATAAATTACAACTTACAGTTACAGTAGTATAAAATTCGTATGAAGTACCTTTTACTAAATCGTTGTCATCTACCTCCAAATAATTGTTGCTCTTTTAACCACTCACAAAAACACGTTTTAAATGCCCTTTTTTATTACACTTTTGACAAAAATAATTCGCATATCGACATTTATCTTTAGTATGGTTCTTATATCCACAAACCTAGCAAGATATTATGTTTTTTTCTGTATTTTGACAAACAGAATTTTTTTGGGCTCGTAAAACGAAAATGGCTTGCGCTGTCGCTGATGATATGGCTAGTCTCTCATTTTACAATTACCTTTGAACT